GGGCAGTTGGTCCACAATAGATTAATAATTAATAATTAATAGATCATTACAATATTGGTCTGAAATCAGAGGAAGTTTTAATGTCCAAAAACAATCTTGACTCTAAATAAGAAAGCCTTGCAATAAAGGATATGCAATGTGTTTTCAGCTTGCTGTAAAACATCATGTTCCCAACTGTGACGCAGGTCATTCAGATCTCCCTGACAATTCCAGTCAACAGCTCAAAAGCTGTAGTTGTGAAAGTCACTCACCCTTACTTCAATCTTAGTTTAGATTACTTTGGAATTTGTATAAGGAGGCTTTTGATTGGTCATATTCAGTAAAGTCATATATTATTTTGCTGCAATGTTGAATATGTTCACGGGGGAGGGGGGGCTTCATAAATGCCCCTGGGAGAATAAACTTCTGCATGTCTGGTTAAAGTCCTTCCTTCTCACCAATTCTCTCTTAAGGCCAAACGAAAAGCTGTTGAAGTCTGTTTTAATGTTATGCTTGCCTTAAGCTGTGAGATTGTGAGATATGTCCTAAAATTAAAGTAAACAGAGCTTTAGAATAAGCAATGATTAAAAAAAAAAAAAACAGATTTCTGAAATGATATCAGTTTCTTTGGTAAGCTTACTTGATGTCTTCCATTCTTAATACACTGAAAGGCTGTTAAGACATAGACCTGCTGCAGAGATTCATAAGGGTGCCCCACCTAGATATCCTCATTGACCCAAACCAAACAACTCTGAATATTCAGCTCTGTAAACAAACCATCACTCTCAGACTGGAGATAATTTACTTTTCTTTTGAAAACATTAACTGTTCATGTGGTTGCTTATTGCTTGACAGAATCTTTTGAAGATATGAAGAAAGCTTCACATACAATTTAGAGACTTTAAAGAGCTCTTGGTCCCGAGAAAACCTGCTGGTATGTTGACCGAAAAATGTGCTCAGAGAGATCTTCCACCAGAGGTGGAGGAGAGAGGACACTGGGCGAGCAAGGTGGAGTTTCTATTGGCCGTGGCTGGAAATGTTGTCGGCCTCGGTAACGTGTGGAGGTTTCCTTACCTCTGCTACAAGAACGGAGGGGGTAAGTTGATATGACGGTCTGATTTCTGTTGAGCTTACATACATAATCATTGCTTTCCTTTGCAATTGAAAAATGAGTCAGGTCTGTTACCTGAGCAATTCTCAAAAGCAAAAGTCAAAACTTTGAGAATTCAAAAATGAAATTAAATGTGTTATTACGGCAGAGATGGCAAAAGTACTCACTTTCCGTACTTGAGTAAAAGTACAGATACTTGTGTTAAAAAATACTCTGGTAAAAGTGGAAGTAGGTACTGATTAAAGTTCTTTACTCAAGTAAAAGTAACAAAGTACAGGCTTGTAAATTTACTTAAAGTATAAAAGTAAAAGTAGAAACCACT